CTGTACCCCAGTGTGACACAGCGACAGACCTGTCCCCACTGGTACTGTACCCCAGTGTAACACAGCGACAGACCTGTCCCTGCCAGTACTGTACCCCAGTGTCATACAGTGGGGACATGAAACATCAGTTCTGTGTGCGCATCTCAGTCAGTAACAAACGTCCCTAGACTAGACTACAGGAGCCCAGAATCATTGCTTTCTTTTTATTTTTAGATTTACATCCACCAGCCAGGAGAAAGTCTGCCAGATTGTCAGCGACACAGAATGAAGAAAGCTCAGTGAGTACTGAAGCAGGCACTGAAGTGTGGAGTGTTTCCTGCTTCTGCATCGTCATCTGGAAGAATATTGTTCCACTGAAAGACTTTGTGGTGTTGGGTTCAGAGGACCCCATTAAGTTGGCTCTCTTTTTAATAATGCTAAAGTTGAGCTGATTTCATTGGCGATGTGATGGGAGAGAAATTCCTACATCAAAAATGAAACCTATAGCCTAAGGACTATGTCTAACACTTTGTTGAAAATGCTCAATGTTTTGGCCTTGACTGCTTTCTGTGGCAGAGAATTTCGCAGGCTCCCGCAGGCACGGTGGCTCAGTGGTTAGCACTGCTGCCTCACAGCACCAGCGACCCGGGTTCAATTCCACCCTCGGCCGACTGTCTGTGTGGAGTTTGCACATTCTCCCCGTGTCTGCGTGGGTTTCCTCTGGGTGCGCCGATTTCCTCCCACAGTCCAAAAATGTGCAGGCTAGGTGGATTGGCCATGCTAAATTGCCCAAAGTGTTCAGGGATGTGTAGCTTAGGTGCGTTATAGGGGGATGGATCTGAATGGGATGCTCCAAGGGTCAGTGTGAACTTGTTCGGCCGAAGGGCCTGTTTCCACACTGTAGGGATTCTATTCTAATCTATTCTCCGCACACTCTGAGTGAAGGAATTTATTCGTGTTTCAGTCCTACATCCTTAAACAGTGACCCCGGGTTCTGAACTCCCTAATCATCGTCAATATCCTGTTAGAATTTTATAGGTTTCCATGAGACTCCCTACCCCTCATTCTTATAAACTCCAGTGAATGTAGTCCTAACCAATCCGGTCTCCTATTCATATGTCAGTCCTACCATCCCAGGAATCAGTCTAGTAAACCTTCATTGCAGCCCCTCCATAGCCACAACATCCTCCCTCAGAAATGGAGAACAAAACTACACACAGTACTCCAGACATGGTCTCACCAAGGCCCTGTTACAATTGCAGCAAGACTTCCCTGCTCCGATACTCGGATCCTCCCTAGACCAGTGTACCATCTGCTTTTGTCACCTCCTGCTGCACCTGCTAGCTTACCTTCAGCAATTTGTATACAAGGACACCCAAGGTCTCATTGCAACTCTCCCTTTCCCAATCTAACGCTCATTCGGACAATAATCTGCCTTCCAGTTTATGTTACCACTGTGGGTAACTTCACATAGACCCAAGTTATATTTCATCTGCCATATGTTTGCACGTCCAAACACTGGTCTAGCAGCCAGCTCACTCTGGTGAGTCATCATCGAATCCCTACAGCGTGGAAACAGGCCCTTCAGCCCAACATGTTCACACTGACCCTCAGAGCATCCCACCCAGACCCATGCCCCTATAACACATCTAATCTACACATCCCTGAACACTATGGGTAATTTAGCAAGGCCAATCCACTCTAACCTGCACATCCCTGAACACTATGGGTAATTTAGCACAGCCAATCCACCCTAACCTGCACATCCTTGAACTGTCGGAGGAAACCAGAGCACCTGGAGGAAACCCCACGCAGACACAGGGAGAATGTGCAAACTCTACATAGACAGTCGCCCGAGGGTGGAATTGAACCCAGGTCCCAGGCTCTGTGAGGCAGCAGCGCTAACCACCGAGCCACCGTGCTGCCCAATGATGGCATCATTGACCTGTGCCGTCAGATATTATAATGTTAGGGATTGAAGCTAAATATTTTCACTGGAAGCTGAACTTGTAGAACAAGCCTCAGGGACAATGCGCTTGAAGTGCATTGGACGGGCTTGTGGACTGTGAGCTGGTTAGCTTCTATTGTGTTGAAAGGTACAAGCTTCCTGAGGCTTTGATTTCTTGTCGCTAACCCAGGTTCTCCACTATTCAACAGGCTCCAGTGGTCAAACGTTCAATTGTTCTGAAAAAGATCGAACCCCAGAAAAACGTGGTAAGTGGTAAACATCCAGCTTTCGGTCTGCCCTGGGCAGCCAGCGAGAAGCTGCCTTGGGAACTGACGTGCTTTCCTCTCTCTTTCACCCCTCCCGTTCCATGTTTGGCTGGAATAGAGTTCTGCAGATCCCCAGTAGAATTCCAAGGTAAGTATCTGTTGTGCATGTGCCTCTGCTCGCAAGAGATGATTTCAGTCTGATCACTGGGTCATGAGGACAAATGAGTAGGGAGCCACCTTGTGCAGTCACAGCGAGCCGTTTTAATCAGTCACACAGAAATCGGCTTCAGGTGGAGGCTGGTCGGCCTGTGCTTGCTCTTTGTGACGTGGTTTGTGGTGTTTTTTTGTTGTGGTAGCTATTGAAAAACTGCCTAAACTCCAACACTAACCTCAATCTCTCTCTCCTCTCATCCAGCTTGCCAAATCTATCATCGCAACACCAAGACGCAGCCCCCGAGTAAGTGTACGCGCTCCCCTCAGCCCAGAAGAGCCAAAGGTCACGTGAGGGGAGGCATTTTACACTGTGTGTGGTTAGCATTTGGCATGTACTTTCTAATAGGTATCATCGAACCCCTACAACGTAGAAGCAGGCCTTTCGGATCATTGAGTCCACACTGACCCTCTGAAAAGCTGCCCACTCAGACCCATCCTAACCTACATATCCCTGGACACTATGGTTAGAGTGGATTGGCCGTGCTAAATTACCCCATAGTGTCCAGGGATGTGCAGGTTAGGGTGGATTGGCCGTGCTAAATTGCTCCATAGTGCCCAGGGATGTGCAGGTTAGGGCGGATTGGCCGTGCTAAATTGCCCCATAGTGTCCAGGGATGTGCTGGTTAGGGTGGATTGGCCGTGCTAAATTGCCCCATAGTGCCCAGGGATGTGCAGGTTAGGGTGGGTTGGCCCTGCTAAATTACCCCATAGTGCCCAGGGATGTGCAGATTAGGGTGGGCTATAGGGGGATGGGTCTGGGTGGGATGCTCTGGTCGTTGTGGACTTGTTGGGCTGAAGGGCCTGTTTCCACACTGTAGGGATTCTACGATGATCATCTCTGAAGAGTGGCGGAGAAACTCGGCAGGTCTGGCAGCATCTATGGATAGTAAAACTGAGTTAACGTTTTGAGTCCAGCAGGCCTTGGTCAGAAGTGGAAATAGTTAGGCAAGGATTTCAGATTTCCAGCATCCGCAGTTCTTCGTTTTTATTTCAGGAAACGTCTTCTACAGTTGTCCATTGTGTGGAAGCTCTTTTTTCCATCTCCCATCCGCAAGAGGATGCTTGAAGACAAGGGCATTGTTGTTTCTTTGTTGTTATCTAAGGGGTAAAGAGGGGAGCAATGATGGCCTAGTTGTATTGTCTCCAGACTATTAATCCAGAGACCCAGCTAATATTCTGGGGACCTGGGTTCGAATCCTGCCGTGGCAGATGATAGAATTTGAATTCATTTTTTTAAAAAAATCTAATGATGACCACGAATCTGTTGCTGATTGTTGGGAAAAACCCAACTGGATCGCAAACGTCCTTTAGGGAAGGAAGCCACCGTCCTGACCTGGTCTGGGCCTACATGTGACTCCAGACTCTCAGCAACGTGGTTGACTGTCCTCTGGGCAGTGACGCCCACCTCCCGTGAAGGAATTTCTAGAGAAAGGGGGATGTGAGCAAGTGAAACTGAGAAGAAGATTGGGCACAATCTTAACCGAGTGATAGAACTGCTTCAACAGGCTGATTGGACTCCTGCCAGCTCTTAGACACATTGATGAATTATTGCACTCAGCGATATTCCATCTGTGAATGCGGCCGTCGGTTTAATATTCTGAGAGGCCCGTTGCGGTCACGTTAAAACTCTGGCTTCGCTTTGTTTTGCAGATTTCCCCGAACACCACGAAGGAAAATGTTGGCGGAGATTTGGCGAGCATGCCCGGTGATGAGGTCGCACAGGTTAGCCCCTTGCCCCCCGGCTCAGCCAGCCCGTACCCCTCGGCCGAGGCGGTGGACGCAGAGAGAAGCGCGCTGATGTCCCAGAAGGTGCGGCGCTCGTACAGCCGCCTCAGTTCGCACGGCATCCACGCCGATGGCAGCTTCGTGGCTTCCCCGGGCTCGGCCGGCGAGGCTTCGGACACCTCCACGCCCAACCAGTTGGCGGCAGCGGGCTCCCGCAGATCGTTCTTCGGCTTCGACAGGCTCCTGGCCGGCGACGCTGTGCCGGGGATCTCGCCAGTGAAACGCCTGACCCCCAAGGAGAAGCCTGCGGAGCTGCCCGGCCGTGCCGCCGGCTCCCTCGTGCCGCTGGATGTCAACATCCCTGGCGTCGCCGTGGCCAAGGAGAGGAAGAAGAAACGCAGAGTCCCCCAGTTCGAGGTGAGACCGAACGGCGTGCGCTCTCCAGGTACCCACTCGTGGCCCCTCCGAGGCTGGTGCCGAGCCCCAGCTCACTGACTGCCGTCCTGTCTCGCCTCTCAAGACCTGAAAGCCCCACTCCTGGAATTTGACTCCATCATCTTGCCCGACCTTCCCGGTGCCAGCGTCGAAGGAGTGCTGAGGTTCAGAGGCAAGGATGAGAGGCTGGGCCGTTTGGTGGGTGTAAAATACCCCTTGGCGATACATTTGAAGAGAAGGAAGGGACTCCTGCTCAGCGCCCTGGTCTTTATTGAATCCCCCCAGTTTCACTGAAACGTGCAGGTTTATCTGATTGTTGTCAAACAACTGCATTTGGGAGCTTGCTGAGAGAAAATTGGCTTTGTGATTCCGACATTGAACCTAAGAAACAGGAGCAGGAGTAGGGCATCTGGCCCCTCGAGCCTGCTCTGCCATTCAATAAGATCGTAGCTGATGTTTTCGTGGACTCAGCTCCACTTACTCACCCGCTCACCCTAACCCTTAATCCCTTTACTGCTCGAAAATCGATCTATAAACGTGCCTTAAAAATATTCAACGAGGTAGCCTCACTGTGCAGGGAATTCCACAGATTCACAACCCTTTGGGTGAAGAAGTTCCTCCTCAGCTCAGTCCTAAATCTGCTCCCCCCTTATATTGAGGCTCTGCCTCCCTATTTCTAGTTTCACCCACCAGTGGAACCACCCCCCCGCTTGTATCTTATCTGTTACACCAGTGACGATGCTCCAAGTAGTTCGCTAGCCATGAGTTTCTTTGGAGTCTGCTGTAGTTTTGAAAGGAGGCTCCATCACTCCCGCAACTGCTGACCTGGTAGACTACTCTCATCCGTTCGCTTTGTATTTTTATCTGGATTAGTCTGGGCTCCTTTGGAATGGAAGGGTTTTGTAGCTGCTATGGGAGAGCAAATCAGGTCTCTGTATTAAATCTCCCGAAGCAGGCTCACTTAATTTAGTCACTCATCCATATTTTGTTTACCTCTTATTCTTTAAGGGAAAATGGGTATCACTGAGTAGCACCTGTTTAGTTCCCAGCCTAGTGCTTAAGCCGAGTGCGTTGCAAGGGAAGGCGAATGATCAACCCCGTGGCTGTGGGTTGGCAATCCAGTGTAGAGTCGTACAGTGCAGAAAAAGCCCTTCAGCCCAGCCAGTCCGTGCCAACCTACCTACATTAATCCCGGACTCGGTAGAAATAGCAGACTTCCTTCCCTAAAGGACACTAGTGAACCGGATGGGTTTTTACAGCAATCAGTGATCATCGTTGCCTTCACTGAGACTACTTTTGTATTTTAATTTTTTTTAAAAACAAGATTAGCTTCCCCAGCTGCCAGAGCAGGATTTGAAGCCCTGTTCCCAGAGCGTTGGTGGGTCAGTCACGTGGACGCCATAGGATGTTGCTATTATAAAGGCACAGAGCTGTACAGCACGGAGACAGACTCTTCGGCCCAACATGTCCGTGCCGACCGGATATCCTAAATGAATCTAGTCCCGTTTGCCAGCATTTGGCCCACATCCCTCTAAACCCTTCCTATTCATGTACCCATCCAGATGCCCTTTAAATGTTGTCATTGTACCAGCCTCCACCACTTCCTCTGGCAGCTCGTCCCACACACACACCACCCTCTGTGTGAAACAGCTGTCCCTCAGCTCCCTTTTAAATCTTTTCCCCTCTCACCTTAAACCCATGCCGTCCAGTCTTGTCTCTCCTACCCTGGGGAGAAAAGACCACCTTCTACATCTCCTATTGGCTGTGCTGCTGTCATTGACATGTGCCCTATATTTACTGCACGTTCTGCTGCTGATTTGAGCTGAGGTTTGCGGCCAAAGTACAAGCTGTAGATCCAGCTCTCGGCAAGTCTGGGAAGGGCGTGACACTGTTTAGCACGAGGTGGCTTCTTCCAGCTCTCTCAATCTGCCTGTTGTACGTCTTTATTCTGTCAGCCTGCTTTAACTTCACACTGAAGTAAAGTCACGACTTGAAGGGAGGATCTAATTAAAAAAGGGGGTAGACTTCATATCCATGTGAGACATGCCATTTTGGCCTTGTTATTCTGACCATCCTCACCTTGCTAAATCCAAGCATTGTGCAATAATTTTGCAGCCCCTGGTGTGGGGCTATACTGAAATGCCAACTGCATTCCCAATCCCCACCTCTCTTCCGTTCTACGTTTGTAAGTTTCGTTTTTTTTTCCTTTTGAGGCAGAGAAGTGTCACTGACAACTAGTACATTACATGCTGCCCTGGAGTGACAGCATGCTGAGTAATATGTGTGCGTCATCCTTGCCGTCAGTAACGAGGTGTACTTTGGGCACGCCTGGACAAAAACATTTCGGGAATGCTTCTCACTCAGAAATGTTCAATGTTTCAAAAAAATAAATAAAAGCAGCTCACCATCACATTGTTTTTTTCAGAGCAGTTAGTGAAGGGCAATGAATGCTGTGCCCTAGCTAGCCATGTCTGCAGTGCCTGAACTATTTTGTTTTGTGTTTAGAAATGCTCAGGGTGCACTTGATGGACTTTTGCTGTCTTGGTCTTTCTGCTGTGACCCTACCTTCCCGAGGTGCCTCAGTGGCCTCCCCACTGATGGATGTTAGGCAGGGACTTGATGCTTATTCCCACTTTCCTGAGACATTGTGCAGGGACGGGGCTTCTCGCAGCTTCCCCGTGCTGAGTGGAAGGGCCCCTGCTAAACTGGGAATCGTGTTCTGTTGCCCCACCCCCACCAGTGGGGGCTCGAGGTGATGATGATTTAATCATGGGGTGGTTGTATGATCAGGATGGTAAATCCATGCTAGTGTTCCTGAATTGTGGCTTGAGGCTCCAGCTAAGAGCCTGGGGCGCGTGCTTCGAATCGAGCAGGGAACCTTGCGCTAGAGCCCCTCCTTGTTGCATCTTTGCCGGGAGTGGCTGAGAGTATCCTGAGGCCCACATAGCCGCTAACTGTTGCCTAATGCGCTTCACACCCCCTTTTCCCTTTTTTTGTTTTCCAGATGTCCGCGTTGGACGAGTGGGCTGCTCAGATGAACGCTAGTTTCGAAGAAGCGGAACGCTTTGACCTGGTTGTGGAGTGATCAGAAGGGGAGCCATTCTCTTCCTGAGCTTGCAAAAACACTTATTTCCAGATGGGTTCAAAATAGCACGAGCTTCCACATACAGGACTATCCGAGAAGCGTCTAACTCTCTACCAGTACTTGTAGAAATGTAGAAGGCAGAGGAGCCTGTATTCATCCTACAGTGAATTACTGCAGCTCTTTTGAGGGATGTGTCTGTACCCCTGTCCCCTTGGAACCTTGCCATTTGTACAAACGCTTATCAACGTAGAATCTCCACTTGCTGCCAGCTGCTACTCACTGATGCTGGCCACCACCATTGCAGATTGCTGGTCGGAGCATGGTTTAGGCTTTGGTGAGCTCTACAAATGTGTCTGTCTCTCGCTGGGCATTTACGGCTTGACCGATTTTGACACAAGCGCAGCGTCCTCCTGGAACCAGTCGACAGCTTGGGTCAAATGGTTATTTTCACAACTGCTAATCTGGCACGCAAAGCTCAAAAATGGCCTGGCACAGTACCATGTCTGGTGAGATAGGGTAATGGTTTTGAGTCAGGGGCGAGGTTGGGAGTGGGAGTGCCTAGACCATAGTCATTAACCTGTCACTTCACTTTTCTGCCTACTTGCTGCCTGTTTTTTTTTAAATATACAATTTGTGTTTGTACATTTTGATAGCTTGACCTTTGAAAGGTGAAACCTCAGAAAAATGATCAGATGTCATTACTTTTAAAAAAGAACACAGCATTATGTATTTTTACGATGCTAATCCGTAATCGAAGCCAGAAACTCTGCCAGTACAATCTGAACGTTTTATAGTCCCTCTTGAAGTGTGGAACTGAATTCTTTCTTTGCTGATTCAAAGGTGGTTTGAAGGATCCGAATCTGAATGCTACTGACCCTTGGGTTGGTTTTTTTTAATATAGTCGACAAACTGTTCCCACCCTGACGATACCCGCCAACTTGCTGGATGTGGCTTCAATTATGTGTGAGGGGAGCCTGCGTGATTATGTTTGAGCATGTTTCCATTTCCTCTCCAACCAGGGCTCAATACCATTGGGTGTTGGGCCCAGCTGCCTGGCCCCATCCCCCTGCCCCAGTGTAGCTGTGAGCCAACTGAAGCTTATCAGAAACCTGCTACATGATAGCCTGATAAACAGTGAGCAAAACATTACGCTGGGTAAATATTATCAGCATCGTGTTATTCAGTATCAACTAAATAAAGCATAATGTTCACTGTGTCCTGTTCCCTCTAAAGCAGTCTTGTTGTGTTTGAAAAGGAAATTGTGTTTTCATTCGGATTTCAGTGAAGCTGAGAGAAGTGTCAGCAATGCTCATGTTAATAGAACCTTGAAACCCACGCCCAGCAGCAGAAACATTCATCTCATCTTCCCAAATTAAATGGTTTTCTGGAGCTTGTTCCAGCAAAATGCAGGTGTTTCCAGTTCTGCTGGTGGAGCAAGGGGTTAGCAATTTCAGTGGGTGAATTAATATCTCAATATCTGCTCACCTTGAGCTCTGGGATTGCATGCTAACAATTGAATGTGTGACCGCTAAATCCTCTTTCTCAAATAAATGCTGTACGGTCCACACTGATTCCTTCTAAATCAAATGCGGTATTAAACTTTTTCTTTAAGTACATTTTATAACAGAAGTGAACTTTTTCTGGCCACTAAGGTAAAACAACTAAACTCTGCAGCAATTAGACATAATTGCTTCTTTAGCAAACTGGTTCCAAGAAAGTAGATAGGGCCACTTTGTTTCTATTTTAATAACTCGATGTTCACTTACTTTGTGTAGGTATAGAAATAGCCACACACATCAGACATCTCGCTGGTGGCATTTTGGTCTGTTATTGTATATGTTAGTTAAGGAGGTAATAAACTGAATCAAAAGGCTTTGTTTTTAATGTTGTGAAGTTTTTTTGTGAGATCTAATCAACGTTGTATTTGCACAACTGCTTCGTACGGAGCTTAGCATACAAATTCCTGCCCCACCTGTACTAAAATAAAACATAGAACTGTGGATGTTGAAGACCTGGAACAAAAACAGAAATTTCTGGAGGAACTGGAATTGAGCCTGGGACCCCCCCAGTACTGTTTCCTTCACCCTCAACCCCTGTCTGATAGGAAAACAGTTTTTTTTTAACCACTGGTCCCGTTTTTATTTTGGAGCTACTGAAATTTTGTTTGCAATTACGGTGTTGCTTCTCTCTACTAATAGTGTGCATCAATCCACTTGCCATCATTACATCGTCAAGTTTTATTTTTCCTGAGAAAACTACCTCTGGACCCTGACACTGGTTGGGAGTAGTGAGTGCCGTTGATCTAACACAATGAAAGTGTGCCCACTTAGAATGGGATTATGTTCAGCAAGACTGGTTGGACTGAAGGATCTGTTTCCGTGCTCTATAATAGAGTATGGCAAATATACTTCCACAGTCAGTGGAGGCACTGACCAGGAACTCCAGCTTTCATTCATGGAATCCTTGCAGTGTGGAAGCAGGCCATTCGGCCCATTCGGTGTACTAACCCACTGAAGAGTATCCCATCCCCCAACGTTATCCTTTTAGCCCTCCTCCTAGCCTATACAGCCGTGGATGCTACAGGGCAATTTAGCATAGGCAATCCACCCTAACCTGCACACCTTTGGAGTGTAGGAGGGAACCCATGCAGACACGGGGAGAATGTAGTCGCCCGAGAGGGAATCGAACCTGTGTCCCTGGTGCCATGATGCAGCAGCGTCTGCCTGTTTGTCCAGGTCACGTGTCCAAAGCTGCGAATTGCAAACCTGCAGCAGTAATGCCATCTTCCAGCCCATCTCAAGATTCTTTGAGGAATGAGGGTATCTACATAAGGCTTGCTTCTGTTACAAAAGTCTACTGCCCTCCCACTGTAATTCCTTGCTTGGAGCACTTTCTGATATTCTGAAGAGAGAAGAAGATGCTTTATTTATATGTTGAATCCCACTGGGAAAGAATAAATACATCAATCTTTAATGCAGACAGCTATGATCACGGCATAACCTGAATGCTCCTGGGGAATCAGATACAAAAATAGGAGCATTCAGATTGTGCGTTGCTGCTTTAACACAACAATAAATTCTTCTCCGGATGCGTCATTATCACTTGGCAAAAAGCCTTGCCTCATCACATTTCACACATGACAGATTAATTTGAATTATAATGCATTATCAACCATGACAGCTGTTTTACCTTGGCTCGGTCCTAGACCAGTTAAGTTAAAAAGCACATGCTGGAGATCTGAAATGCACGGAAACAGAAATTGCTGGAGCGACTCAACAGGTCTAACAGCATCTATGGACAGAAAACAGGGTTAATGTTTCAAGTCCAGGGACTCTTCTGGAGAATTTCTGTTTTTGTTTGTTCTTTGACTTGTTAACGCAACATTAAACTCTCAATTTCAGTCATTCCTGGAATGTTTTATGTTAAAGGCACTGTAAGTAAAAGTTTTTTTGTCAGAACACATAGTACATAATGTATACTTCTATCCATTGTGTGGCTTACAAATGTGATTAGAGTCCAACTTGACTGTGCCAACCAGACTTTCCAATCTGCCCTAGTCCCATTTGCCAGTATTTGTCCCACGTCCCTCTAAACCCTTCCTACATACCCATCCAGATGCCTTTTAAATGTTGTAATTATACCAGCCTCCACCACTTCCTCTGGCAGCTCGTTCCATACATGCACCACCCTCTGTGGGGTGAAGTGAGTCGGATCCTTTTTAAATCTTTCCCCTCCCACCTTCAACCTATGCCCTTCTAGTTTTGGAATTCCACCCCCTCCCCAACTAGGAAAAAGATATTGGCTGTTCACCCTATCCATGCCCCTCATGATTTTATAAACCTCTATAAGGCCACCCTTCAGCCTCCGACACTCCAGGGAACATAGCCCCAGCCTATTTCAGCCTCTCCCTATAACTCAAACCCCCTCCAGTCCCGGAAACATCTTTGTAACTCTTTTCTGCACCCTCTCAAGTTGAATATCTTTCCTATAGAAGGGTGACCAGAATTGAATGCAGTATGTAGTTCTATAAGGCAATAGTTGTGTTCTTGTGTAACCTTGCGCTATAGAAATTTGTGTTATAGAGAAATCGCTGCAGAAATTCTCTTATACCTGTGCAACAGAAAGTTTGCGTTATCCAAACTGTGTCCACTATTCATCAATTGCGTTACAGCCAATTTGTGTTAATGAAACATGCATTATAGCAGAAATACCTGTATTCAAAAATTGGCCTCACCAATGTTCTATGCGATCGCAACTCCTACACTCAACATTCTGATCTATAAAGGCAAGCGTGCCAAGCATCTTCTTCATCGCCCTGTCTACCTGTGACACCACTTTCAAGGAACTATGTCTGACGACACTCCCCAGGACCTGACTGTTAAGTGTATAAGTCCTGTCCTGGTTTGCCTTACCAAAATGCAATGCCTCACGTTTATCTAAGTTAACTTCCATCTGCCACTCCTTGGCCCATCTGATCAAGGTCCCTCTGTCCTCTGAGACAACTATCTTCGCTGTCCGCTAGACCATCTATTTTGGTGTCATTTGCAAACTTACTGAGCATACCCCTACATTCACATCCAAATCGTTTATATAAATGATGAACAACGGTGGACCCAGCACCGATCCTTGCGGCCCACCGCTGATCACAGGCTTCCAGCCTGAAAAGCAACCCTGCCCCTCCCCAATCCTCCTACCTTCAAGCCAACCTTGTATCCAGTAGGCTAGCTCCCCATGAGCCCCGTACAATCTAGCCTTACTAACCAGTTTACCATGCTTTGTCAGAACTTATTCAATGTGGCACCATTTCTATTCCAGGAATAAACATTTTTGACTTGACAAGGTGGATGGCTCCCTTTTATGTGTGAGCCCAGAACTAGGGAGAGCCATATTAAAAATTAATGGCTTCCCAATTAAAATGGAAATGGGTCTTTTTTTTTCTCTCTCTCTCAAAGGTGGAATTCTCTTCCCCTGGGTAGCAGTGGAAGCTGAATTATCAGATATATTTAGGCCGAGCGACACAAATTTGTGATTAATATTAGGAGTCACGGGGGGGATCAAACAGAAAAGTGGGTCGAGGCCACATTCAGATCAGCCGTGGTCTTATTGAAGGATGGAGCGGGTATGGCCAGCTGAATGGCTCACGCCTGTGTATATTTCCCGCATCCTAACTCTCTCTGTGTGCAAACCACTGTTGGTGATGATTCTGCTTCTCCTGCACCACTTACAGTCCCAGCTTTGCTTTCTTTATTTGTTCTATTTTGCCTCATCCCTTTCGTCGTTTAATCCTTTATGTCCCCTGCTTTATCCGTTTCTTCCCCTGCCCTGTGCTTGTTTAAAGCCTAAAGCACCGCGGATGCTGAAAATCAGAAACAAAAACAGACATTGCTGGGCAAAGGGTTCAGTAGAGTCTGGCAGCATCTGTAGACGGAAATCAAGAGTTAACATTTCAGGTCCAGTGGCCCTTCTTCGGCAGGTGCAACTGGTTTAGGAGATAGTAGGAACTGCAGATGCTGGAGAATCTGAGACAACAAGGTGTGGAGCTGGATGAACACAGCAGGCCGAGCAGCATCATAGGAGCAGGAAGGCTGACGTTTCGGGCCTAGACCCTTCTTCAGAAAAAAAACAAAAACTAGTTTAGTTTGGGATTATGGTTAGCATGGGCTGGTTGGACCGAAGGGTCTGTTTCTGTGCGGTGTGACTGTAGTTACCCAAAGGGGTTAACCAGGCGTATGTTACTCTGCTGTCCCTGGTAGCTGTCATTTTGCCATTTTATACGATCCAGTAGAGTTCTGACTCCCCACAGTCAATTCAATTTGCACATTTCAGTGGAGTTTTGTATGTACTGCCAATTCTGCACTTAATGGGAGCGAAGGAATCAATAAGTTATTTCCTATTTCGCATCGACTGAAGTGACATAAGAATCTCCAAGTTGACACAGCTGCTGGAAAACCCTGTCCCTCCCATCACCCATAGACAACAAGTGTCGCAGAACCCCTGCAGTGCAGAAAGAGGTCATTTGGCCCATCAAGTCTGCCCCAACCGCCCCAACCCCCCTCCTCCTCTAACAACATCCCACCAAGGCTCCCAAACAGAAATGTCAGCTTCCCTGCTCCTCTGGCCTGCTGTGTTCCTCCAACTCCACGCTGTGTTGTCCCTGACCCCAGCATCTGCAGTTCCTGCTATATACAAGCCCCAAGTCTGTCCCTGTTACCCTGCATATCCCATGACTAACCCCATCTAGCCTGCACACTAAGGTGCAATTTAGCATGACCAATCCCTCCCCAACTAACGTGAACATCTATGGACACTGGGAGGAAGCCCCATGCAGACACAGGGAGGAGGTGCAAACGTCTCACAGACAGCTGCCTGAGGGTGGAATTGAACCCAGGTCCCTGGGGGTGAAATTGAACACGGGTCCCTGGGGGTGGAATTGA